ACTCTAAAATGGAAAAAGTGTTTCTCATTTTTCTTGGGATCAACAACAGTTAAGGAGGAAAGGTAAGCTGGTGGTGGGAACAGATCCACAGCTAAGACTGAAAATCCTACAATGGGCACATGCCTCTCCTCCTGGAGGCCACTTTGGTAGAGATGTCAATTTACAAAGAGTGAAGAACATTTTGGCAAAATCCATGGAATGCCAAAATCCATCTTGAGTGATAGGGATGCAGTTTTTCTAAGTACATTTTGGCAAGGCCTATTTTCAATGCATGGTGTAGACTTGTTACTCTCATCCTCTTACCACCCACAAACATATGGTCAAACAGAGATAGTTAAAAAATGTCTAGAGAGCTATTTGAGACGCATGACCTGTGTTAATCCTAAAAATTGGTCTAAGTGGTTACCTCGCGGAATGGTGGTACAATACTACTTTTCACACTACTACACACCTGACTTCCTATGAGGTTGTTTATAATCAGAGGCCCCCTGTCCATCTACCCTACTTACCAGGAGAAGATCGAGGTGCTTAAACTCAACCTGTTGAAGTCACAAAACAGGATGAAACAACTTGCTGATGGCCACAAATCAAAGAGGACCTTTCAAGTGAGGGATTGGCTATGGCTTAAATTCCAACCCTATAGACAAGCTACACTACTACTGAGAAGTAATGAGAAGCTAAGTGCTAAGTAGTCTAGTCCCTTTCAAATTCCAGCTGTCATCGGTAAGTTGTCCTATAAAATACAGCTACCAGAGGAAACCAAAAGTCACAATGTCTTTCATGTCTCCCTTCTCAAGCCTTTCAAAGAAACACTGCCAGAAAAGTCACATATTCCAACATGGCTTCAGGGTCTCAACACAGAAGATATGCTAAAACCAATGGTTATACTTGCTCGCAGGCCAGCTAAGAAGAATAATATGGTAAAAACACAATTTTTGATCCAGTGGACTGGTTAGTCGCATGAAGATGCCACTTGCGAATGGGATGAAGAATTGCTCATCAAATCCCCAGAATTCCAACCTTGAGGACAAGATTGCTAAAAGGGGGATGGTTAGGGTTGTTGAGAGATTGTCGTGAGGCTGTTTTATTTCCTTTGTATAAATAACAAATCATCTATACGTTTGTGGTTATGAATAATGAGACATCATTTTTTTCCTTCCCTCTACTATGTATAAATTACAGCTCATTTGAAGCAATCATTCTGCCATTAGAGTAGCTTTCCAATAATAATAACATGTTCTTGACTCAATTATAAAGTAATATCTGTCCATACTTTTCTAAACCTGATAACTCATTAAGTGAGACTCTAATTTTAGAAGCCTGACTCTACGTTCATGCAACCGGCCGCAGTAGACTCTGCCTGAGATACTCCCCCATCCGCACTTATGCAGTACACTCGTCCGACTCTTCGTATCAACTCAGCCGCCCTTCACTTCCGGATAAGAACCCGGTAAGAAATGAACTTTTAATTTCATTTTTCGTTTACCTTTTGGTTCAAATGCTAGAAGGAATTAGTAGAAGATTGATGCCTTGCCTTTTGAGTTCATCTCCAGGATTTTGGTTACCGTGCGTTTCAATTCGTACATATATTGATAGGCCTGATATTTTTTCCTATACAAATTAGCAATATCAATTTGCCCGCAAGCTGTTTGATATAATGTCATAATGAAAATTTTGGTGTAAACTTCATCTCAAAATCTGTTATTTTGTTCAACTTCCTTAGTTGGGTTGAAGCCTTCATTAAAAAAACTTGTGTTTATTTGTTCTACATTTCAGTTTGGGTTAAATTTAAATAGTAAATATCATTTCTGGAGAGGAATTGGAGAGTGGAGACTGAGACTAATATGAGTGGTAATTTCCCGTTGAATTTAGTTGATTTCTTAATTTCCAATTAAGTTCTCTAATAGTTTTTAAAGCTATAAATTTTGTCGATATCTTCTCCATTTATTGTGAGTGCTTAGCTTCTGTTTTATTTTGTAGAATCATCGTTAGAAAGCAGGATTCACTTTGATTAGGACTTTATTTGTAGTTGACATGAAGATTGTATAGAAGTACTTGTACTTGGATTTATTTCAATTTAAAGCAAGGTTGCTAATATTTATTCACTTTATTATGAATTTTGTTGTATGTATATGTAAGTATTGTTACATATTTTAAATTAAGGAAACATTTAATAAACGTACGCATGTGTTTACACACTTATCCCCTGCAGTACAAAGAGGGGAAGAAAATTAAAATTCAGAATCAATCACTGTGGCTATCCAGCAATCTTTTTAATTTCCAATTAAGTTCTCTAATAGTTTTTAAAGCTATAAATTTTGTCGATATCTTCTCCATTTATTGTGAGTGCTTAGCTTCTGTTTTATTTTGTAGAATCATCGTTAGAAAGTAGGATTCACTTTGATTAGGACTTTATTTGTAGTTGACATGAAGATTGTATAGAAGTACTTTTACTTGGATTTATTTCAATTTAAAGCAAGGTTCCTAATAGTTTTTCACTTTATTATGAATTTTGTTGTATGTATATGTAAGTATTGTTACATATTTTAAATTATGGCAACATTTAATAAACGTACGCATGCGTTTACACACTTATCCCCTGCAGTACAAAGAGGGGAAGAAAATTAAAATTCAGAATCAATCACTGTGGCTGTCCAGCAATCTTTTACACCAAAACAAATTCCACTGACAACAATTGTAGCTTGGTGATACCATTCGCAGAATCTGTCATACAATAATTAAAATTTCATGAGAAGAGAGAACAGCATAGAGACAGATCATACCTAGATACTTTGCCAACATGATAGAAGTTGCATATATGTGATAAGGAGGATTGGCTCCATCAGCTTTGATCCTTCCTCGTGCTTCATCCACGAAGGAAGAACTGCGAATGACCAAGAATAAAGGGATGCCAATGCAAATGAATAATGAGCTTACAGTATTTTTGTTTTTACTATGCATAGGTGAGTGTACAGTATTTTGGTTTTGTATGACTCAGAATATATACTAAGTGTACAGTATTTTGAATTTTTACTATACATAGGTGATGGAGGAAAAGTGTGAGGGACGGTCAGAAGTCCTCGCCAACAAAAGAAACCACCGTACAGGCTTTTCCTTCGGTGCCATTTCTAAAGTGAGGGTTTTGGTTCACTCAACACATGGACCAATGAGAGGTAGACATGCGGTACCATATTCCACATCATTTAACATACTTTTGTTTATTACAATCAGTCCCAAGTCTAAAATTTAATAATTATTTCTTTGTATCCACCGTTTCTCAAATCTTCGATTAACTTCTATCACTAGCTCTGTCTCCAACATCTCTGTTTCTGCATCGGCTCCAACAACATCGTCTCCATCTCCAGCGTTCTCTTTGTCGGAATCAGAAGCCGCCCATTGCCGACCTGTCTCTGCCGTCCCTAGGTCGGATCTCATCCCAAGTTTTTTTCTTCTATTTTTCTATTACAAGATAGATACACATCATTCTATTATCTCAATTAAAAGTAATTATTAGGAGAGTAGTTAGTAATTGTGTTCCAAAGTGTTTTTTTCATGTTTCAATCGTGGCTTGTTCTTATTGTTTGTTTGATTTGCACCATGAATTATCATTAGAAAATTTCTATGATGTCATATGTATAGATTTAAGCTATGAATTGAGTACTAAGTAATAATCTTTGATTTTCAATTTTGTGTAAAAATATTTATAATCTAATATTTTTTTTTGGAAAATACTACTATTGTATATAATTTCAACAAGATAAGCGTTTTGAAGAATTGCAACATAGAAGGCTAAAATATCTTAATAGGATGTAGGAATTTCTCTCCTACCTGAAGTTAATTGGAACAAAGATGTAATCTTTGTTAAAAATATCAATTGCAATGTAGTGAAATATTGTTAAAAGGTTGAAAAGGGAGCTACTCTATATCAATTGCTGTTAAAAGGTTGAAAGGGTGCTACTGTATATCTAAGTGAGAAATATATTGTTTTTATAATAATTCAAAAACAATGAAACTTTATTTTTGGTTTATAAAAGGGAAACAAATGTCAGTGCCATATGTCTTCATTTTCTATTGTCCAAAAAGTGAAAACATAAACATAAACAGAGCACTTTTTTACCAAAAGACACCCTAGTTTTTTTAAAATGAATGTTGTAGCTAAATGATGGTGTAAATACCGTGCAAATATTAAGTATAGATAAGCAGTAGGGCTATATGTGGAAACATCTGTAACTCGGTTTGTTCTTAATGACACTAGGACTATTTACAAGATACAAGTCGTGTAGGTTAATTCGAACATATCTTACAAATGAAGCTTTTAGTCCTATTTATAATAATAACTAAGCACGCCAAACACGTCTCTACCCTTCCGGCCGGCCAGTCACCAACCGGTCACTACGCATGCCATGCTCGTGACTCTGGATCTTCTCATACCCGACCGGTTAGACTACCCCGGATGACCAAGTCATGGGGCGTCAGATTTAGGTACCTCCCGGTCGGTTTCAAACCTACCGGTATAACGAATCACGTATGAAACACTTTCAGATCAAAGTTATTTCGGGGTATACGAAATACTTCAATCGGATAAGACGTTAATCAAGAACAAGCACTCAAAATTGGTCACTCAACCCATACCACGAGACTCTATTTTATAGAGTCAAAAATCTTATGATCGGACATGAACGTTCGCGCGAGGAAGAAGAAAGGCGCGAGTTTGAACGAAAGCTCTCCTGCAGTTTTTAGGCTCTATTTTGACGTTATCCACTGTGTACGAGTCCTTTACCGTTTTGGACTCCGATCACGAAAATCTTAAGAATTTTCATAAAGAAACAACGTCCGACCCCGACCAGGGGCTCTCCCCCCTTGGACCCCGCCAGGGGCTGCCGCCTCTTAGACCCCGCTACCCGATACCAAAATGTAACACCCTAACCCGCGTAACCCGAATACAAGGACTAGCGGATCGGGTTGTCACTAAATTGGTATTCAGACACAATAATTTTCAAAACAATTAAAAACATTTAATTCAAAACAATATTTAAACATCCATCGGAGTTAACAAAACGGTGCGGAAGCCTTTAATAGTTAAATCAAAATACAACTTTGGGTTCTTGTCCTTTAAACATAAATAATTCAAACTTAAGTGTTAAATAATAAACTCCTCCAGCTAGCATCTATCCACCTCTCCGCCCTTGCTGCAAATAGGAAAAAGGGCTACACGCTCAGCATTGAAGCTAAGTGAGAACTATCTAACGTTTTGACTATGCACATAGACGAACCCACTAGCTCATAACTTCATATAATAGCATGCACACAAGTACAACATTATTAATATCAACAATCCACACAATATGTTACTTACCTTAGTTCTTCACCTGCACATGTCATTATCACAACAATCAAGTCATTTCATTAACTCATATCCAACACTAGCTCATAAACTATTCTAGGCTAAGGCCAATTCCTCATTATCCACATTCTTATCTTAGGACTTAGAGCCACTACCTACGGCCATGACTCAAAGTCTATTCTATGACATCAGAGCCACTACCTACGGCCATGATTCTGGTCAACCTGGTACCTACGGCACCGGTTGGGTGGAACCTCTAATCCTACGGATCAGATCCCAGATTCCATGTACGTACATCTTTACCCGAATGCCACCGGACACTAAGTCCGCAAGGCTCTACACCTATTGTCAACTTACAAATTTCAATTCTCACAAGGTAGTCATAGAGTTCTACTAGGTAACCTACGTCATTAAACTACTTTAATTATTTAGATCCAAACTATCAACAAACTCAGTATATTTTATTCGTACAAGACATATCACATTATCTTTATTATAACTAAAGAGAACAGAATTAGCTAAATATATCATCATGCAATCCACACAATTTCAAATAAGGAACGTACCCGGTCATCCTCGTTCCACCAATTCCAACAATAACATATAATATAATTAAATCATAATATAATTATAAACAAATAAACCACGTAATCAATCATACAAAACTACGAACGTGAATTTCAAATCTATATACATAATCTTGCGTTAGATGTGCAAGTTCTGACCTCGATTAATTGACGAATTAAACAAATCAAATTCTCAAAGAAGATGTCGGCCAACTCGGCAGCAGAGCAGCGGCTACCCTGCGGCCTCCGGCTCGTGGCGGCAGTCAGCTCCTCCGGCAAACGGCGGCGATGCTTCTTCTGCCCTCGTTTCCCCTCTCTCTCACGGGTCTCATCGTGCACAGGGGAAAGAATAAAGACGAAGAAGGAGATGGCTGTGGATCCGTGCTCGCTCGGCGGAAGAACAGAACACGTTGTTCTGTAAATGGCGTGTATATATATGTATGTACAGTACATGGGTTTTGGGATGGGTAGTTTCTTTTTGACTTTGGAAACGGGTAGCTGTAGGATTTGTTTAATATTTTATTATTTTATAATTAAAAATCTTTATATTTAATTATTGAACTGTAATGTATATTTTACTCACCACGCTTTACACATATGCCCAAATTTAACCAAGTATATACCGTTGGTCACCATTTTACGAGATCTATCCGAAAACCTAATTTTTATTTAAAACGGACAAATTTAAAAATAAATCATATTTTTGAGTAAATAAATTTAATATTTATTTATATTAAAATAACGACTAACTACTATGCCAGTTTTTGAGTCGTTACATTTCCTCTTCTAGTTCACCATTTAAAAAAGCTGTTTTTACATCCATTTGGTGAATCACAAGATTGTGTATAGCCGCTAGGGCAATCTACAACCTAATGGTTGAAATTCTTGCAACAGGGGCATAGGTATCAAAGTAGTCAATTCCCTCTTTTTGTCTAAAGCCTTGTATCACTAAACTTGCTTTAAACTTATCGATCGAACCGTTTACTTTCATCTTCTTCTTGAAGATCCACTTACATCCTACCAGGAGGTAAGTCAGTTAATTTCCAAGTGTTGTTATGCAAGATAGAGTCCATCTCATCTTGAATAGCTTCTTTCCAAAATGCCACGTCCCTTGAAGCCATAACTTCATTATATGTTCTAGGACCGGCTTCAATATTATAGCAATATTGATATTGAAATAAAATTTCATCCCTAGAACCTTCAATTAGAAATAATTGAAAATCTGAGCCAAAGGATTTGGCAACTCTACGTCTTTTGCTTCTCCTAATTTTCGTAGGAACGAACGACTCATTAGTAGAAACTATGTCTCTATTAGAGCCCTCTTGGTTTGGTATAGATCAATCACCTAGAACCATATCTCTTGGTCTAGGTATTGATGAAAACCTATTCTCATCGAAGATTGCATCCCTTGACTCGATCACGGTGTTTACTCCCACCGAGTCATTAGGTTCCATAACGTAGAATCTATAAGCCTTAGAATGCTGAGCATATCCAATAAAAATGCAATCAATGCCTTTTTCACCCAAGGTTCTCCTCTTAGGTTCTGGGAGTCTTACAACCGCCCTACAACTCCAAACTTTTAAATAATTCAAGTTTGGTGGCTTCCCATACCAAATTTCATAAGGGGTAATTTTGCTCCTTTTGTTAGGAAGTCTATTTAACAAATAGCAGGCCGTTAACTACCATAACTACTTAGAAATCATGTATAAATAGAGGGGACCGAAATGGGGATCCTCAAGTTTAATCAAGCAAATAAAACCTATAATTCTCGAGTTCTTGTTTATTGTTAATTCTTTTGAGCCGCCGTTCTAGTCGGATCATTTGGTGGATTAATTGTCCATCAAATTGGTGCTTTCATTGAGAGCTCGAGAACTATACTCAAGAGAAAACCTTCCAAATAACAATGGTGCAAACTCGCAGCAACACAAATCAGGTAACCGGAAACCCCCCTCAGGGTGAAACTAACGCTACCGGAGGTCGTCACCATCCCATCAGCGTGACAGAAGCCGAAGCCCTCATCTAGCGGATCGGGATCACGGCTGACCTATTCAAGGAGGTGATGGCAGTTTTGACCCCAAATAATGAGGTGGTGATGGACGACGCGACCGGGGTGCCAGCCGGGGGGAAGGACGGACCGACGGGGTATAAGGGTAAAACAAGAAGAAAACCAGGCGCTCCCATAAGAAGAAGGTGACCAAGCCTAATGGGAAGGCTATAATGGAAGATGATCTGTCCAAGTTAGACGAGGAGGATGAATCGTCCTCCTTCGAGCGGGCATCCGCTTGCGATCGGTTGGGGATCCAAAACAGAAGAAACCGCGGACCTCTGCGTTCGATCGGCTACAGGACACCTGGTCAGCCCGGAAGGGCGACCTGAGGGATAAGATCAGGGAAAGAAGGGAGGAATCCTCAGCAACATACGTACGTACGTACGTGCATGCATACATACATACATACATACATACATACATACCTGCCTACGTACGTACGTATGTACGTACGTACGTACGTACATACATACATACATACATACATACATACGTACGTACGTATGTATCTATATATATAATATCATCAATCCCCAAATTCATAACAATAACAATTCACAAGAGAGGGCAATTGTTAAATTCATAAGTTCATAACACTTCAAAATCCTTGAAAAAAAATGCAAACCAAAGTTCAAACTTCAAAGTAAAAAAATAATAGAAAATATAAAAATTGAATTTAAGTAACATATCATGCTAGGAGCCTAAGAGAACTTAAAAGGATAATGGTCTAATGGATTGACTATTGAGATTTGGCCTATTACACTCTGGGCTTGGATTTATTAGATTATTTAAAAAACTTAATATTTTATTATATATTGGTCAAGACCAGATAATTTCGGGTTTAGATCGAATCGGACCAGAACCTGGAATTCTAAATTTTTTAAAGACCAAAGACCGGACCTGAATATTCTGGCCAATCCAGTTCAGGTCTAAATTCCTGTCTAGACCTGTTAATGCACAGCCCTAGCTATGATCTGGGCAGGGAGGCACGTTACCATGGAAGAGCGCAAGGAGAAAAAGGAAAAACCCTAGCAAGAGCGGGAAAACAAACAAAAAGGGAAGCCATAGAAAGGGAAGAAGTTGGGTTTCCCGGATGGGCCTAAGGGTCAGTCAGCCTGATCCTCTAACAACTCAAAATAACACAATCTGGTTTTCACCATCCCAATGACAGAGGTTATGACACACGCTGCCCAGCAGGGTCTCATGACTTACCCCACTTACTCCCATAAGGTGTGTAATATGGAGGAAATAGGAAAATGGTTTGCGTACCCCGGAAAGAATGATCACAATATCGAAGATTGATATACCTTGAAGAACGAGATGGCTCGGCTCATCCAGAGAGGACACCTCAAGCACTTCATCCAAGACCACTCCGAAGAGGAAACCCGGAACTTTGGACCTAGGAGACGTAAGGAGGGCCAGGTTGCTCGGGTAGAGTCTCGGAATAAGAGACACATTAGATTAGAGGAGGAAGAAGTCAAGGATTTAGAACAAACTCCAAATCGGCAGAAGAGGCACCACGGGTGTAACTACATTATCGGGGGAACACATGTGGAGATTCGGCCACCAACAAGCAAAAGTGAGCAAATAGAGTCTCGGTGAACAAAGTTATTGTAACGCCCCGAAATCTGGCCCAAAAGAATTAATTAAATTCGTTAGAGCAATTGATTACAAATTGGGCCTAAAAAGGGGTTAAAATTTTAGTTTGGATTCTAAGCCCTGTCATCTCGTAGGAAATATTTTTGTGATCACGTCGGTTCAAATGGCTCGCGAATCAGAGTTATGGAGCTCATGTTATGGCCGTTTAATCAGGTATTTTGGGCCCGGAGCCCAAACCCACTAGTATTGAGATTAATAAGTAAAACCTAAACCTATTAATATTGAATTACGTTGTACGTGTATAAACCTACGGTACGCGTCTTTTGTTTCGGATCTGAGAGCCGCACGACCTGATCCTTCGTCTTCATCGTTTCCGATCGCAGCTAATTGCCGCCATAAGCCAGTCACCGGTCGTCGTCCTTCCCCGGTACAGCTAGTCGCCGCTGCTTCCCCCTCGCCAAAAGTCCGTCGCCAATTTCCAGGGTCAGCGTCGCCGACCACGGTTCCCAATTGCTAGAACCACCATCATCCGTTCGAATTGTCGTCCAGTAACCTCGTAGTGCCGCCGTTCTTCGCCTCCAGCCGCCGTCGCCCTTAGCACGCCTGCCGCCCTGCCACTGTACGCCGGCGCCCGCCACCGTCACCACATCCAGCTGCTGCCCCGGGTTGATACCGCCGGCAGATTAATCTCCACGCTAGATTCATTGTTCGATTCCGTGTTTTGACTCAATTCGACCCGTTGTTCGTTCGATTTTGTTGATTTGTCTTCCGTTCGAGCTATCGATTCGATTTCTACGTAATCCAGGTCTGTACTATGAAGTTAATAGCGTTAGAATAGATCTAATTATTCTAAGATCGTTTTGTGTGTTTATGCTATAACTTGGCTAAAGTGATTAATTCAATTAAATTGATTAATCGAACTGAATTGTTAGAGATTATGATTTGACTGAACAGGGCTGATTTTGACTTAGGTTAGGTCTCATTGGACCTAGGCCTTTGACCAAATATAGTGTTAATGTAGATTTGGCCTAATTGACACATTAAAGGACTTTGAGGAATTAATTAAGTTAATTAATTAATTCTAAACAGTAATTAGGATCAAATGGTTTAAAACGTCGAACATAGAAACTGACCATTGCTCGGGCGGCTACAGGGCCAGGTCAGTGAGGTTAAGACGTGCGCACGAGGGTCTGCGATCTTGGGTTTGAGGTTATCGCCCGAGGGATCCTACCTCCACCGAATTGAGGCTATCTTCGGTATTACAGATTGAGGCTATCTCCGTCATAGGCAATAAATGTTAAGTGGTTTGACTTTTGTGAAAGTCTACATTGGTTTGACCGGTGGTCAAAGAGTTAAAGAGGAATCCATAACATCTAAATCGTTTTGAAAAGAAAGAAAATAAGTTGACCGTTGGTCAACCGTCTAAAGAACCGAACTTAAAGTTGAATTGATTTTTATTAAAAGGATAAACATATGCGCGATCTTAATTATTGAATTATTATGTTTATTCTTGTGCTGCAATGGAGTACCACTCAGCGTCAATGCTGAGCGGATAGCGTTCTTTTCCTTTTCCTTGTGCTGCAATGGAGTACCACTCAGCGTCAATGCCGAGCTAGAGCTTCAGTCTCCGTTAGAGCAGGAGATCCGTACAGCACAGAGAGACGATGAGTTTTGTCAGAAGACTCGAGAGTTAATTCCTACAGGAAAGAGGCCCGAGTTCGCAAATCGCGATGACGGAGTCTTGTACTATCGTGAACGCCTAGTGGTGCCCCGCAGTGAAGTGAGGGATCGCTTGTTGCGCGATGCTCACGGAACCGTATAAACTATGCACCCGGGTAGTAACAAGATGTATCCGGATTTGAAGAAATCCTATTGGTGGCCTACTATGAAAAAGGAAATCTCCGAGTTCACTGCACGCTGTTTGACTTGTCAGCAAGTCAAGGCTGAGCACCAGGTTCCGACAGGATTGCTGCACCCTCCTACCATTCCGGAGTGGAAGTGGGAAAGGATCACTATGGACTTTGTGGTCGGATTGCCACGATCTTCACGAAAGAATGACG